GAATAAAACATTTAAGTAATAATCTTTGGATGTACATCTACATCTTGTTAACTTTTAAACAAACCTAATTCAAAAAGGCTGCCACAAATTAAAGACCACAGAAAATGCAAAATGGCTGTCATTTTTAATTACTGAGCTAAAATAATATGTTGTAGTTGCTGAGCACATTACTTTGTGCATGACATCTTATGAAAATCACTTTTCATTTAAGGATTAATGTACATTCGTTTTATTAATATTGGGCCTTAAATTGTTAGGATTTGTTTACTATTTACTTTAGACCAACAACATCAATAAAAGTATTGCCGTCCCACCTGTTCACATCAGTCATGCAGTTTGACAGAGACACTGTGAAAACTGTCAGGTTCTCCTAGAGAAAGGTCAGGTGAAGTAAAGAACTTGACCAAAGCTTTCCTATTATTAATCTAACATGTCCGGCTCCTATAAGGCCACACACTGGACTGACCTAGCTACACAACACACAATACAGATTGTTATTAATTACAGTAAAACAAATGTCTTTCTACAGAATAATGTCACTTATGTTTTGGTGTCATAAAATGTTTCATCTTGAGTCTCTGATTTTTAGATCTTTAGTGCTAAAAAGTAATTTTTTTATTTCTCTGTTTTAAATTTAAACAAACTTTCAGCCTCATGTTGTCACAGTTTTTGTTTTTGATCAAATGAGTTATTGTTAAGCGTTTATAAAAAAGCATAAATCTTACACGAATTCCTTTAGCTATGTTCAATTATTTGCTAATCATTTCCACGACTCAAATTTAATTCAGCTTGGGTTTATTATACAGTTTTATAGATTAAAGGACCACAATCTCTAAAACAAAACTAATATTTACAAGCTGAATCAAAGACATTTGGACTTTTTTGAAAGACGTTTTGTTTTTCATCTGAAATGCTTTCAAAAGTTAAATTAAGGAATTTATGTTTTATTGTTTGAATTGAGAAAACGCCTATTAGGATTACCACGTCCTGGATGATTTATAATCCACAACCAACATAAATTACAACAAAATATTACAGAATAAAATCAAGGTCAGTTAGCTTCACGTCTACTGACTCCATCTGCATAGCAAATTATTTACAAGTAATTATTCATTTACAACAGAGGGATTTATTTTATACTTGCTCAAAGACTTGGAAAACATGTTTAAAGCCAAACAAACCCTGATGCTGGACCACAGGCTGTGTCAGAAGATGGCAGTCATCATCACATGATGTGTTCCTGTGTGTCGATACAAACATTGTATATTCATTTTTAATTTAAACTAATTAAATGTTCAACTCTGAACAGTAAACTTCACATCAGTCATAATAAAACTCAAGCAGTATCAGTGAACTGTGACACAGTGTAAACAACTGTTTCACTTCAGGATTTAGATTTGTTGGACCACAAATCTGGCAGCCTAACTGGTCACAGTCAGGTGAGTGATGTAAACACGGACAAATCAGCACGCTTGTTTACACAGCAGTGCATTAATATTCATAGTCCACAGAAGTTTTATTTTTAGATATTTATTTTGTCACAAAAATGAAGCAACAGCCAGATTTGTCCCCAGGTTGCACGAGTAACATGAAATGAGTCACAACATAAAGCTTTTATGAAGCAATTGTATTTGTATTGTGCATTAATCTACTAAAATTAATCAACCCAAACAAGCACAAAATGTCTGTAACTCAGTCAGTTTTGCAGATATTGTTCTAAACTTTGATGGGGTAGTAGCCGAGAGTCATCCCAACCCTCAGAACATTTGTATTGTTTAAAACTTTGTCAGTAACTATTTATTTCAAGCCTGTCTGTTAGCAACATGGACCAGTGGAGGAAAAACAATGTGAGCCTCATCTGTGATGAGCAAGAATTTGTGCCACCATCTTGCTAGGTGCTACATGGGTGTTTTTAGTTATCAACAGAATGCCAGCAGGTCATAAATATCCACAGGGGAAAAAAACTAAACTAAACTTGTTGGAGTCCAATGTTTTATAAGTAAAATAAGGCCTGCTGCTTTTGTGGTTTTGGTGACACAGCAAAGACCAGAGGTTCTTAACCTTTTTGACCTCGGGGCCCAATTTATTGAACATAAAGTGTCACGAGGCCCAGTCAGACATTACCAATGCAC